TGTGTACCTAGTTTAACGTTGAATATTATTTATGATTTTAACTTTATACACAAGTGCCAAAATACTATAAGTACTGATAAGTTGGTTTGTTTCAAATATTTGCTCAAAGTTCCTACCTGCAATTGGCCTAATTTTGAACTTACAGACTAAAGGGAGGAGAATTAGTCAACAACATTCATTGCCAACTCTAAATCACTCTTAAAATGGCCCCAAAGTTGGAGCACAATCATGCAGCAACTGTGATCCAGTACAGCACACTAACCACTAAGCCAAAACTGATGAGAAGCAGTTGACTGTAGTGTGCAATATCAAGGATAGAGGGCACTACAGTAAGGTCTGTTGTAAGAGAACACAAGAATTTCTCCATAGTTCTCCAATTTTTAAAATCTTTTGTAGTAGATTTGTTAACAGAACAGGAAAGATTGTCTCAAATAACATATTTACATTTACACATTTCTTTTTGTTTTCTCTTAATAGATTTGTGTTAAAAGGCTAACATGCTATAAAATTATTCGGAAAGTATAATTTTTCATAGAGTGGAATATACTCTCAACTCTTAAAAGATCTAATTTTATGTGTGAAATACTATTTAAATTCTTCAGAAATTTAGAACTTGTGGGCTTTGAGATAAACATTTTTTTTGCACATCACATAGATTTACAAATGTTATTATGTATATACAAAAACATTCATCAAGAATTTTTCAAAATCACAAATGAAACAATCCAGTCAATAACAAAAAATCTTTTCCAGCACAGTCAACAATACTTTTGCTTAGTGCATATTACTATATGCCTTTCAATCTTATTTACTACATTAGTACAGTTTAAGTCATAAAATACTGCAATTTATCAAACTTCTCACTGGAGTAACAGTTTACAAAAGTACAGTAACGCTGATCTAGAAAAAAAGGTAAAAAAACGAAAACAGTTTAATAACTATAAGCCAGATATTTAGCCAAAACAGCTTTTATATTTTAACATTACAATATAACAGTGATACCAAATTTATTATATTTCATATCAAAATTGTAGTCTGATCCAACATTTTTTTAAATGTTTTCAGTTTTATTCACTGTTCCAAATCATTTCATACTAATAAAAGAAAGCTAACACACTGACATTGAAAAATCAGTAACTTAACCCTAGGTGCATGTGAAATGAAGTAAAAACGATGCACATTCATGAAGGATATATAACTCATGTTTCCTTCAATTGCTTATATTTGATTTCAAATGTTATTTAACATGGTAAGAATAAAGAAAAGTAAAAAAAACTTAACTAGATTCATTAAAAGTATGAACAAGACAGTATAAACTGCTGGTTCTTACTTTAGCTGAGACTACACAACTCTTTTTTTTCACTCAGGAAGCCTTTGTTAACAAGCAATAGCTGAATTTAAAATCATTGACAAGCAATCTAGGTTGGTTAGACAATACGTTAACAAATATTAAAAGATATGTCAAATCCTCTGTTATTAGAAAACGTCCAATCTCTCAGCTTCAAATTAAACGAGAAAGAACATCAATTTACTATTGAAATAACATCATAAAGCACACATGTTCTCTAGAAGGGGTATATTAAACCACAAAGCTCAGCTAGTTTTATTTTTCTGTTCAAGTGAACAGTTTTTGGATGCAAAAATTAAAACTGAGTACATGTTTTGAAATAAAACAGAAAAATTGGTTACTTCACCATTCTGATGTCATAAGTTGAGAATATGTCCTTGAAATCATTATAACTGAAATAAGCTTTAATACATTTGTTGTATTTGTTTTTATAGGATGTAGAAGATTAAAAAGTTGTATGAGAAAACTGTACTTTATCAATAAAGCCCTGATCTGTCTGTACTTTGTCAATAAAGCCCTGATCTGTCTGTACTTTGTCAATAAAGCCCTGATCTGTCTGTACTTTGTCAATAAACCCTGATCTGACTGTACTTTATCAATAAAGCCCTGATCTGACTGTACTTTATCAATAAAGCCCTGATCTGACTGTACTTTATCAATGAAGCCCTGACCTCGCTGCACTTTATCAATAAAGCCCTGACCTCTCTGCACTTTATCAATAAAGCCCTGACCTCTCTGCACTTTATCAATAAAGCCCTGACCTCTATGCACTTTATCAATAAAGCCCTGACCTCTCTGCACTTTATCAATAAAGCCCTGACCTCTCTGCACTTTATCAATAAAGCCCTGACCTCTCTGCACTTTATCTATAAAGCCCTGACCTCTCTGCACTTTATCAATAAAGCCCTGACCTCTCTGCACTTTATCAATAAAGCCCTGACCTCTCTGCACATTAAAAAAAGAAACTGCTTTGACACATTTTTCAATTTTTTATGTTTACTTAAATTAATTTTTCACAGAAAATTAAAATATACACAAAAATAAGTTTTTGATAAGGTGGTTACACAAGATTTATGAAAGTAAAACTTATCTGTCCAAGGTGATGACTTAAGACTAACTAGCACAGGTGAACATGCATTGGATTAGAACTGTTCTCCATGCAACTATGGAATACTTCTTTTATATATAATAATCCAGGAAAAGTTTTTCCCTGGACAAGAACTTGTTTCACAGATAAAAAATAAAACACAAAAATTATTTAGACTGTAAATAATCCCTTTGCCAGCAACAAAAAACTATATGAGGACCATGAATTAAATATCAGTATGCCAAACTGAAATGTGTATCACGTGGAACACTGATTATTAAAAGTATCAAATATGGTAATTTAAAATTCATATTACAACATTTCCACTAGAATTTAATATTAATGATGGTTCTCAAGCAGATTTTATGTACCATATTAGTAAAAGGTAAATACTATAATTATTTTACATTAATTTACTAATTCTTACTGGGAAGACATAAAGCAACATAAGTAAGGTTATATTTTATTTTGTAAAGACACTGTATGAAAAACGAAAATTATCAATCATAATGTTAAAATGTTCTCTTGTCTGTTTCAAAAATACAATTAACAAAATTTCTGAAAAAGAAGTTAGGTTTTGAACATGTTCTAAAACAACTAACACAAGTTGATCACCGAGAGATGTAGCTAACTTTTATTTTTAATACAATACTGTGCATCTCAAGTGACCAATGACAAGCAAGAATTTTTTATTCCATCCAATCAGAAATTGACATTCATGTAACTGACAATATCACTCATTTTTTAAGCTGATTTGCTTTCTTAGCATATCAAATTGTTGTCATAACTACTTGGATATTTCTAGTCCCAAGTATCTTTGTATCAACAATTATTAAATTTAAATAAAACTCGAAAGACACTGTATTTTCTAGTCTTTTCTTGAAATAATTGTTACTAAAAACTAACAAGCTCGTCACAGATTTATAATCTTTGACAGAAGAAGCTTCATAACAGTATAATTCTATCACAACTTGTTAATGTGAAGTACTTTTTTCTGTGTTTTTCTTCTTCCTTTGCATTAGATGGTTATCATTCTTTATGTTCAGTAGCATCTTGTCTGTCCAAGATGGTAGAAGCAGTCCATCTTCATAAAAAAAACAGAGCTTCAGCTCAGTTCTTCATTTCTGTCCTGTTGCAGCTCGCCAGAGGGATGCAACCGATGCTGCTGCCGAGGACATAAGTCCACCTGCAATACTAGTTGTGGCATCAGGATGATGGATGGGGTGAGTCTACTCAAAATAACAGTTTTCATAAAGATGGGGAAATATTTCAAAGTCCAGAATAAGTGAAAAACAGGCTTTTAAACTGTCAAGATTAATGCTGCTACAAATTTATTCTCATATAAAAACAGGAGATCAATTTTTTTTTCTCTCTGGAAAGTATCAAACATTTACTTCAAGTTTGAAACTTATCTATTTTTGTTACAAACAATAAGAACTGCAGAGATGGATTTATAGTTTGTAACATCATATATAATAATTCTACAAGTCCCTTTTACTAAGTACATTACCCTGCTTTAATCACTATGAAAAAGTACACTGAATTAATTAGAACTAGTGCAAAAGTTGTTAAACTCAAACTCTTTAACTAGTTATTTATTCTCAGTGCCTTATACAACTCTGATGTAGGCAAGAAAGTACTGACATTCATTTTTAAATTATCATTAAAATATCTTAATTTATTATTTTCACTTCTTAATTTCACACCAAATTTCGTTCAAGTAAACAGGAGTGTAAACTATACAATGGAGAGAATTTAAACTCACCCCATATGTACATGAGTAGTGAGAAGTGGTAGTTATGATATAAACTAGTATATACATGAGGAGTGAGAGATGATAACCAGGATATAAAGTAATATGTGCATGATGAGTGAGAGATGATAACCAGGATATAAAATAATATGTACATGATGAGCGAGAGATGATAACCAGGATATATACTAGTATATATGTGAGAAGTGAGAGATGATAACGAGGATATAAACTAATATGTACATGAGAAGTGAGAGATGATAACCAGGATATAAACTAATATGTACGTGAGAAGTGAGAGATGATAACCAGGATATAAACTAGTATATATGTGAGGAGTGAGAGATGATAACCAGGATATAAACTAATATGTACATGATGAGTGAGAGATGATAACCAGGATATAAACTAGTATATATGTGAGAAGTGAGAGATGATAACGAGGATATAAACTAATATGTACGTGAGAAGTGAGAGATGATAACCAGGATATAAACTAATATGTACGTGAGAAGTGAGAGATGATAACCAGGATATAAACTAGTATATATGTGAGAAGTGAGAGATGATAACCAGGATATAAACTAATATGTATGTGAAGAGAGAGATGATAACCAGGATATAAACTAATATGTACATGATGAGCGAGAGATGATAACCAGGATATAAACTAGTATATATTTGAGGAGTGAGAGATGATAACCAGGATATAAACTAATATGTATGTGATGAGTGAGAGATGATAACC